CTGCTTAGTGTATTGCATGTTGTGGCTTGTCTGTGTTTGCAGGCTGTGTGAATCTGTGTTGTGAAAAGGGATATCCTGGAAGAAGAATTGAATGGGGGGAGAATGTGGGGAATGTAAGTTGGCCAGACAAGTCATTTTCCAGGGGTGGGGGCACTCCAGCGAGAAGCCTGCCTCTGTTGCTGACAAGTGGCTGCTCTGTCTCTGGATCCTTCCTTCCTTCCTTCCTTCCTTCCTTCCTTCCTTCCTTCCTTCCTCCCTCCCTCCCTCCCTCCCTCCCTCTCTTCCACCAACCACGTTCTGCTTGTGTTCTTCTTCACCTCAGAAAGTCCCCAGTTGCCTCTGAGCAGGGCTTGAAGGGGCCCATTGTTTCCCCTGGCCGAGCAGCTTGCCCTTTGCAGCCTCTCCTTGGAGGGCAGCCTGGGAAAATTTGGTCAGCTCGAGCATTTGGCTTTGCCTCCTTCCAGATGCCTTTGCTCTCCTCCTCTGCTCTTGGGAGTCCTCTGCAGCCATCTTGTCTTCCTGAAGCCAAGTGCACCGGAGGATGCAGGCAGGGCTGCCCGGGAACCTCTGAGCACTGGAGGATCTCCCTCTTTGGGACGGCTGCCCCTCCCCTTTTCCTTGGACACCTCCAGGGTCAAACCCTGGCTTCTCTGGTGGAGAAAACTGGGAGAGCTGGACAGTCTTACAGGAGCCTCCTGTGTGCTTCTGCTCCACCTGTCCAAGTTCTGTGGAGCAGTGGAGATTTGGGCAGAGGTTCCTCCAACTCCCCCCCCCCCCGGAGCTTTGCAGAAGTTGAACCTCTTGCATGAAGAACAGCTGGCTAGGGATGAGGGGAATTGTAGTCCAGCTCACCCAGAAAGCATCAGCTGAGGGAAAGCTGCCTTCAGCCTCCTGAGGCTGCTTTGTCAAGGCCCCTCGGGGCCAAATTCAGAAGGGCCCCGGCCCAACCAGAGGCTTCTTGCGCAGCCATCAAGGCCGTGTGGGTGGGGTTGTGCTTAGGCAGAAATTCACCAGGATGAAAGGTTATCTAGATAAGCTTCTTTATTTTGACCTGGCTTGATGGAGACTGAGCAGAAACATTTCTGCTGCTTAGGGAGGTGAGAGGGCTCCACGTTCTAAGTGGGGACAAGGCTGCCAGGCCCACCCCTACCCCTCTTGAGGTCTGGCCCTCTGGCAGGCCCAGAGCTTGGACAAGGCTGTGGGGTTCTCTGTCACTGGAGTCCCAGAGCCTGGGACAGTCCAGATGATGACAGCCTCTGCTGCAGCCACGCTGGGATTGCTTTGCCTCCACCATGGAGTGCCACACAAAGCAAAGGGGGCACTTTTGCCAGGGAGAGACTGGCAGCTGCAGGGACCCGGAGCCTGCGGAGCCCAGCAAGAAGAAGACTTCTTCCTCAAAGACACTTTCTTGTAGTAAAGTCAGGGGTAAATTTCCGAAGATCCCTCCTTCTGGCTTCTCAGCTCAGGTCCCTTCTGAGCCTTACCCAGCTCTGTCTTCTTTCCCTCTTCTTCTTCTTGCTCCACAGGGCTACAAAAGCCCCATTTGTCTGCCTTAGTGCCCAATTATGCTTCCAGCAGCTTCTTGCCCAGACCCAGCAGTGGAGACAGGCTTTCTCACTGAGTGGGACAAACCTCAAAGGATGCCCAGAGAAGGAGCTTTCCTGCCATTCCAGCCGGATGGCTGTGCATGAAGGCTTTGCTCTGCCCTGAAAACAGATCCTTCCTCACCCTTCTGGGTGAGAGAAGGAGCTTTGGCTGCTTCTCCTTCTTTGGGGAAAGCCATAGCAAAGACTCTTTGATGGATAGCATTCCAGATTTCTGGAAGAAATTCCATGCATCGTTTTATTCTGTGCCACTAGAGGTACGAACTTCTCCAGATGGCCTGGAATTCCATTTGGAGGGCACCAGGTCCCATAAGGCTTTCCCTTGCTTGGGTAGGAAGCCAGACGTGGTCCAAGAAACCAGCAAGAATGGTGGCTAAGCCCGGCTGGTCCAAAGCAGCCTGTGGGTCTGCCCACCCAGCGGTGCCTCGGCTGTCCTGGAAATGCAGCGGGTGAAGTGCTAACAAAGACGCTGCTGCTATTTTTGTGGGTGTTACTATCATCACCATGCACCGACACCCAGGGAAGAGCTGACTCGTCCAACTCCATGTTTTGAGAGCTTCTCGAGAAGGTGTAAGTGTGTGGTTTCAAAAGATCCATTGGGGTGGATTTAGGATTGGACAATAGACCTTCCTTCCTTCCTTCCTTCCTTCCTTCCTTCCTTCCTTCCTTCCTTCCTTCCTTCCTTCCTTCCTTCCTTCCTTCCCGGTTTTAAGGCACTTGATTCCTCCACATCCAATTCTTACAGTAGCTTCTTGTCCATTGCAAAGTTTCCCCCCAAGAGTAACCAGATGTCCCAGCCATTTCTTTTAATAGACCCCACATTTTGGCATGATCTCCACAGTCAAAGAGCTTGCTGAGGTCCATAAAGCAAGGAGGAACCCCACTCGGAGCATCTCTCTGTCATCCATGACGGCCGCCCATCGGAGTTCTTGTCCCTGCAGTCCTGCTCCACATTTGTTGACACAGAGCTGGTAGCAGTTTAATTGCTGTTTCTTTGCAGCTCCAGGGGTACTTCTAGTACTTTCCTCCTGATAACTACTTTACTGTCTGTGGTACCCCCATTTTCAGTGGAGCCAGTGCCTGAATAAATTGCTTCTCTACAAATGTTTCTCTAGTTCTGTGATCCTGTTTGCAATGATTCCAGTGTAATCTTCCCATCTTCTTTTAACCTCATTTGCTTTTGTTAGAGCTTTGGATGATTATCTGTGAGTAGCTGTACATTTTCCCGTGGTTTATCTGATCTCTCTAAAAGCATCATCTCTTGTTTATTTTTCTCAATTCTAGACATTTTTTTCTTTTGATACCTTCCATTGTCCTTCCTTGTTTGATGCTGCGACTCTGCATTCAGGGGCTGTACACTGTTTTTTTCCATCCAAGCCTCTCATCCTCCATCTGTCTCTGACTTTCATGATAACTCCTTGGATTTCGGGAATGCATTTTCTGCTTTGGTTTTCGCAGAATCTCTGATCTCTTCCCAGAGTTCCCGAAATTCAATTTCACCTAAGTTCAGTGTAGTGGATGTGCTGTTTCAATGGATCTTCTATTCTGACCATATGTTTGCCTGGGTCAAAACTTCTTATGAGACCTACGCTCCTTAATTTTCAAAGTTCAGCTTAAATATTGGATACAAATAATTCCCAGTCTGCATCTGGAACTGTCCAGACCGACATCTTGTATTTCTCTGTCTTCTTTCCTTTTATATGGTCTGCTGATGCTGATGCTGATGTTGTCCAGCCAGTGAATCTGGGCACACCACTGGCCCTTGTGAGACTCAGAGCTGGTGCCAGTGATGATCTCCCCTCCGAAGGTCTGCTAACTTTTCTCCTGCATCACTGCGCTCGTCCAGCCCTGATCGCCCTCTTACTGCAGGTCCTTTTGCATTCATTCCAGCCCCCCCTTACACTCCCCACAAAATTACTCATTCCTATCTTGTCATTTATGGGGCCGCGGGATGATCCTTTCCAGGGCCTTTTCAGCTCCTTTGCTGAATCTCTTGCCCGAAGTGATTTTGCCTTGGGTGATCTCTTGCCCGGATCTGATTTTGAAGTCCGCCTAAATCCATGTGCTCCATTGAGCCTCAGAAGGGGGGGGGCTTGATTCACAGCTGTCCCCTTCTATGGCTAGAAATGAGGAGCTGCTTTCCATACTGACCCTCCAGTCTCGCCTCCTCTTTGCGCCCAGGATTCTTCTGGGGGGGGCAGAGGAGTATCTTTGACCTGAGGGGGCCTTCATCCTCAGCCTTGACACTTGTCTGAATGTTTGACACCCCCCCCCATACCGTTTTCTTTACAGCAATGCAGAAGGGGGCCTAGATCCCGAAGGAGGGTGGGCTGAGCTCTGTCTGTCCTCTCCCTGTTGTGGGGCTCTTAGCCTCCCCCCTCCTCTTCTGAGCTTACCCGCAAGGGGAACAATGATGCAGCTAGCAATTATTTGAGCTCCTTCCAAGGCTTTCTTCTCTGTTCTTCTTTTTCCCCACCACAAACGTCCCCCAGGTGCCCATGGCCAAAAAATGGTTCTCTAGAATTCGGACAGCTGGATATAATTCCTGGGAAAGAGCAGCTTTTATTCCTTTAAGGGTATTATGTAATTTGGATAATTTTGCAAGCACTTTTTGCGACCAGGAGCTGCGTCTGCCTTGAGTGCTTAGGAGCTCCGGGGCCTTGCTATCATGCCCCGGAAGGAAATGGAAAGCACAACCCAGGAATCCCTCCTTGAGAGCCACCTTGCACGCTGTTCCCAGGACTGAAACTCCCAGGTCACCCAGGAGAGGAAGAGGTAGTAGCCGAGGCCCTGAGAGACTCCCCAAATGGGGAAGGAGGCCATCTTGTCATAAGGCCCACCAGCACAAGAAGATTTGGTCCTGGTGTCACTCAGTTGGGAGACGCTGGTCCTAGTAAGCCATCAGCCCAGATCATGCTGCAGTCACCGCTGAGCCTCCTGCTGGGGCAGTCCTGGTTTTGAATGGGGGCCAAACATTGCCCTCCAGATGGGGTGGAAAGAGGAATCTCTCCTTGGGGCTTTGAGTCTTCTTCCCCAAGAACCAAACTTCTGATCAAACACCCGACTTGTGGTTTTTGAATCTTGCATCTCTTTCTATAAGAGAAGGCTTGTCAGGTGGCTGAACTTTGCCCCCTCCAAACTGGTCACTATTAACCTGCCTCTCTCTCTCTCCCCCCCCCCCCCCCGTCTCCTCTTTGTAGAACCACCTGTCTCCAAAGAGCTGCATCTGCAGAGAGGAAGAGCTCCTGAGCCGTGGGACTTTGGCCCCTCCCTGCCTGCTATTACTCTTGCCTGCCACACAGACCCCCCTTGGAGGGCCCCCCTTCCTCCTTGGAGGGTCCCTTGAGCCCCCGAGTCCGCTTGAGGCCCACTGCCCAGGACTGCCCTCCCCAGACCATGTGGCGGTCATTGTGCCGATGCCCGCTTCTCCTCCCGCCTTTCTCGCAAGCGACCAAGGGGGCTGCCGGGTGGGGCGCACACCTGGCCCTCTGGATCCTGGGCCTCGCCTCGGCCGTGGTGCGGATGGAGAGCCAGGCCTACTCGCCCACCGTCAACACTCACTATGGGAAGCTCCGCGGGGTGCGTGTGCCCCTGCCCAGCGAGATCCTGGGGCCGGTGGACCAGTACCTGGGGGTACCCTACGCCGCACCTCCCATTGGGGACAAGCGGTTCCTGCCCCCTGAGCCTCCACCGTCCTGGTCGGGGATCCGGAATGCCACCCACTTCCCCCCAGTGTGCCCGCAGAACATCCACACCGCTGTGCCCGAGATTATGCTCCCCATCTGGTTCACCTCCAACCTGGACATTGTGGCCACTTACATCCAGGACCCCAACGAGGACTGTCTGTACCTCAACATCTACATCCCCACCGAGGATGGTGAGTCCCCAGCGGGGTGCCTGTAGGACATGTGTGTTGTATGTGTGTGTGCACGCGTGTCTCTCTGCGGTTTGAGCATGCTGCCATCACTTGCTCTCCTCCCGACGCATGGCTGTCTGTGCGCATCCGTTTCTGGCCATTCTGCTTGTCCCTCTCGGCTGCCATGTGCTCCTTCTCGCTCTTTCTCCACATGGGCCCTTCCTCCTCTGCTCGTCCCCCCCCCCAGCCACCATCATCCTCATCCTTAACTGGGTTGGCGAGACAGGAGAACTCTCGGTCAGCTGCAGGGTGTCCCGGCCGGTTGGGGAGCAGCAGGGAGCCTTAGGTGCCCACAGGCTTGGCTGAGGGTCAACATTCCCCCAACCTTCTCTCTCTCCATCCCCCCTGCCCCCATTTCCAGAGGGTCCTTGGCAGGACAGTTCTGGTGGGGGTCTCTCTCTCTCTCTCTCTCTCTTCCAAACCTCGCCCAGTCCTTGAGCTCAGCCTTAGCAGGTCCCACTCCCTGGTCAGAGGAGGGTCTCCACTAGCAGGGTCAGCCAGAGCAGGAGGGGGGCTCTTTGTGGTGAGGCCGAGCACCTTAACCCTTCCTTTCCAGGGCTCCCCCGTTGGAACTGTAAGTAGCCCCTCCTGAGCACACTTGGCCTCACCGCAAGGGGGTCCCACCGAGAGACGCTGGCCCTGTCGAGGGGAGCCTCTTACCTGGCAGCAGCAGCACTGGGGGAGCCGGGCCCCTCCCCGGGCAGGGAGGAGGGAGCTTCACGCTTGACCAGCCCTCCTCTCCTGCACCCTTCCTGGCCTCAGAGATGCCCCCGGAGCAGCTGCTGCTCTGCTCCCCTCTGCCCTCCCTGTGGTCAGCCCCAAAGGGGGTGGGGGGCTGGGTGGGAGTGGAGTGGAGTGGGGAGAAGGATGGGTTGCATGCCCACACCCTCCGCTGGGGCCTCCTGTTATTTTGTAGTCTTTTATTCATTTTACAGTAAAACGGATTTCCAAGGAATGCGCCCGAAAACCCAACAAGAAAATATGTAGGAAAGGAGGTAGGTAGCGAGCCGGGGCCTGGCAGAGGGCACAGAGAGAGGCAAGTGAGAGAGTGAGCGCCAGGGGGCGCCTGGCCTGCCCCATGCCACAGCAGGATGGAGGTGGGGGGCTTATTGACTTGGAAGGGCTCTCTGGCCAGTCCTCCAGGAGAGCACCCTCTCTTTTTTTGGGGGGGGGTGGCATTCCCACCTAGGAACAGCTGGCTGGCATTGGCTGCCTATCACTGGGGGGGCAGAGGAGAGGGCTCCCTTCTCCCCTGCCCCACACTGGGCTGGAGCTGGCTTTGCATCCAGAGTCGACTGGAAGGCGATTCTGCCCAGTTCCTTCTCAGCAGTTCTGGGAAAGGCCATGCCAGCGGGCAGAGGGCTGAGGATGCCCTGCTTCTGGACTGCTTCTCTGGCCGGCCCGGACACTGTAAGAGGGGAGTGGCTGCCCCACCACAGGAACCTCCATGCGGTGGGCGCCCTTTCCCTGCCACTGTGGCCCCTGGGTCCCTAAGCAGGTAGAGGGCAGCACAGCCTGCGCTGGGCTCCTCCCTCTGCCTGGCAGAATGGCAACTCCACAGCTCCTTCCTCTCTTGAGCCGGACTCCCCTTGCCTCCGGGGAAGGCTGGCCTCAGGGCTACCGCTGGGTCTTTTCGGACCTCTGCCCCCCCAGCCTTGGCCCCCTGGACAGGGGCAGGCAGGGAACCTCTGCAGGCCCTCAAGAGCTCACTGGCTCTGTGCCCCCCCTCCCTCCTCACAAAGGGTCTCGGTTCCACCCATGATGGAGCAGCAGCTTCAGCACGGGCAACCGCTTGTGCCCAAAGCCACCCTTAAATCTCCTCTGTTATTCCTTCACCAAGGCCCGGGCATGCAGGTGCCAACCTCCTTTCGAGCTTTTGGAAATACCCCCCAACCAGGCCTGTTGTGGGGATGGCCGAAGCCGCTCTGGGCTCTGCTCCTGCTCTATTCCCGCTGCCCTGTGGAGGGGGGGGGGCAGGGCCTGGACAGCTCTTCCCGAGGAGGAAGAGGAAACCGATCCCTGAGTTTTGAAAGAAAGGGAGGCGTTCCGGTGGGAAAAAGGAGGGGGGGGGGCTCATTTCAAGTGATTGGGCTCCAGAGGGCAGGTCCCCCAGGTGGCGGACCCCCCACCCCACCCCTGCATGTTGGGTTTCCGCTCCTGTCATTCCCAGCCGAATGGCCAAAAGCATGCAGCAATTGAGAAGGGCCTTCCGGGAGTGAAGGAGGGAGTCAGACCAAGCAGTTAAGGGAGGACCAGAACTAGTGGGCGTGCCAGCACACCTGCACACAGACGCACACAGGGGGCTGGTGGGTCTAGGCACGTGAGGCAGCTTGGAAGCAGGTTCCCATCCCGGGCAGCTTAAGCAAAGACTTTCCCACCCCAAGGGAGCTTCCTCTGTTTGAACCCGGAACATCTGCTTGGGTTCTCCGCCTGGGATGGAGGGGCGGGAGACCTCAATTCCTGGGGCTCCAGTCAAACGTAACTGCCCAAGAAAGGAGGGAAGGCTGTGACTGGGCTAGCAGTCTTCCTGAAGTAGCTGTGGTGATTTGTAAATCGTGGCTTACTGCATCATACGAACCCAGTCCGTGTGGGTCATTCAGCAAACCCTAATTATCAGTAAGCAAGACATGGCTTAGCTCAGGCACATGACTGAGAGCCTAAGCATTCTGGGAGAACTCTGCCAGTAGCATTCATTTAGTCGGGGATTATGGTTCAGTGCATTGTGTGAATCCAACCAGTGATGGCTTAGCGTTTTGTGTGAATGCAGCTACATACTTTGTCTTTGACTTGCCCATTGACTAATGCTGACGTAGGACCCTCCAGGAAAGAGAAAGTGGGTCTGGAGAAAGTTAACACTGAACAGTTTCAAGGAGGAGCCAACCCCCCCCCCAGCAACCCCAGGCCACCATGTGCAACGGGGGCATCAGAGAAGCTGCCTTGGGGCTCCGTCTGGCTTCTCTCCCTTAAGGACTCTGAGGCCCACTCAGCCCGATGTCACAAAAACAGGAGGGGGAGAAGGCTCAGTCCTCGAGAAGGAGGGTATTGCATGCCTTTTGGGGGGAGGACCCCCACAAATACCAAAATAGCTATTTCCCTTTCTTCTTTGGCTCGCGTCTGCCCCCTTTCTTCAGGAGCACGTCCAGCCCCGCTATTCAGGGAGGGAGGCCAGGTTAGGAACGGCTGTTTCCCCGTGGGGAGTCACCGCAAATCGGCTTCTGGCAAATTCCCTGCAGCTTATGGGAGTTGTGCCCTTTTGGGGCTGATGGGGCTTCTTTTAAGTCTCTCTGCCCCTTCACAGCTGGGCCCAGTTTAGCTCAGGCGTTTCCCCCTCGCTGGCTCTCCAGTGTGACTGCGGATTCTGCTTGTGCTCATATCCTGGTTAATCTGTCAAGCAAGAATTTGCATCTCCACCTAAAACTGATGGAAAGGAGAAGGTATCCATGTCAGCTGTCCCTGGGGCCCCTCTTTTGCGCCATCTCTAAAGCATTTTCGTTTCATTCAGCTTTGATGTGGCGTGGCAGGTTCCCAGCAGAGCAAAGAAATCACCCCTTCCTCATTTCCTCCCCATCCTGGTGGAAGATGGACATACCTTCTTGCCCGCTCCCTCCCCCCCTCCCTCCCTCCCTCCGGCTGCCAGGGGTCAAAGGTAGCCCGTGCCTGGGCCAGGACTGGCTTGGCTCTGTCGGCCATATTGCGCATGGCTGCTCCATTGCACAGTGCCTATGAACCCTCTACCAGGCTTTGCCCATAATCCCCCGCCCTGGGCTGATCCCTCCAATGCAGCTTCTCAGCTGCCTCCCCACAGCTTCCTCTGAATGGGGTTGGGCTGGGCAATTGCTCATCTCCGGATGCCCCGCAGCCGTGTAATGGCCTGGGCAAAGTGTACTCCTCCCCGCCCCCAGATTGCACCAGGGGTCTGGAGGAACATGGCTGGGGCCGGGCTGATGCGCCCTGCAGAGCCACGAGCAGGAGGACCAGCGCAGCCTCTCTCTGCCTCGGTTTCCATGGTGACCGTGCAGGCCTGGCATCTGAGCAGCAGCGGCTGGAGACAGGAGCGCTTTGTTCTGCTCTCAGCTGATCCAGGCTGGAGCCTCATTGTGTGGCGGCCGGGCAGAGGGGAAGGTGGAGGCGCATGCAACTCTCCCAAATCTGTCCCTTTGGGCTGGCCCGGGACTTTGTCCTATACGGGTGGAGCCCTCGGACCTCTCGGAGGCTGGATGGGCAGCTGGGCGCCTGCTGACTCTTCCCTAAGATGGGCAGGGCCTCTCTGGCATGCTGGACTGAATGCTGCCCAGGGTGGCTGGCGGGGCCAGATGGGATAGCAGCCTTCAGTGTGCATCTGTCTGGGGTGCTGCAGATGTTTAAGGTTTGTTTCCAGGAGCACATAGAGCCCCCAAAGCATCCTGCCAGGCCTTCTCCAGCCCCCTTTTCTCAGGGGAGCAGCCAAGAAGGGACATCTGCAGGGGAACAGCAGAAATAGCCCGTACCTGCTGCACCTGGTTGGCATCTGGGCAAGCCAAAGTCTGGAGGAGCTTGTGGCAAGGGCCAGTTCATATTCAAGAGCTGAGGGTAGTTCTGGAGGTCACCATAAGACCTTTAGGGAGATGACCACAGCCCCGGTCCTCCAGGTGCCACAGGCTGGCGCAAGCAAATGCACAAGTCTTGTTGTGCAATCCTGAGTGGAAGTGACCTGTCATGCCAAGGGCACGAATATTCGTCCCATGGCAGCACAGAGTTTCCACCCTTTGGCTGCTAGACGGTGATGCCCACAACAAGTATGCCCGGCCCATGTCCGCATCCAAAGGGGGCTTGCCGCTCGAGGGATGCCACCCTGAACCTCAGGGGCCATCCAGGCTGGCTCGGCAGGGACAGGTCCGGTGGGCTTCCCCCCCCCCCTCCTTCAGGCGTGACCTCTGCAGCTGGCCTCCCCCTCCCTGTGAGCAACGCCTGGCCTTCTCCCTGGCCCTGGGGACGGGCCCCTGCTGAGGAAAGCCTCTGCCCCCTCCCCAGTGCTGCTGCTGCTGCTGCTGCTGGAGGTCTGAGGGGTGCCGGAGGCTTAGCAGAAGCCTGAGCCAGGTGACCTTCCCACCTTCTCTGCAGCCATGCTATGTTTGAATTCTCTTTTGTTTTCTTCCTTCCTGTTTTGGTTTCTCTTTTTTGCCCCCTTCTTCCTTTTTGTTCGGTCTCCTCGTGTTTGGTCCCCAGGCTCCAGCGCTAAGAAACAGGGCGAGGACTTAGCGGATAATGACGGGGATGAAGACGAAGGTATTTGCGTGTGCCAAGTGGCTGTCGATGCATGAACCCACTCTCCCTCCCTCCCTCCCTCCCTCCCTCCCTCTCTCTCTCATGCACGTCCTCATTGCTGCTGCCATTCCAAGAAGCCCCCCCCCCCCTGTTTGTGTCTCTGTCTCTCTGGGTGCTGAGTGGTTGGATGGGGAGGGAGCCCTGTTGCCCCCTGCCCTGGGTTGCTTGCTGGTTGGGAAGGTGGAGACAAGGGGCTGCAGGGTCCCTCTCAGCTCAGACGCTCCGGATTTCTGGTCTTTCCCCACACAGAAGGTCACTGTGGGCTTGCAGGAACAGTGCCTCTGGGAGAAAGTGGTGCTTGCCATTCTCACCCCCCCCCCAGATACACACAACACACCCCCCCCTGGGTCCAGCCTGGGTCCTCAGCACACCCCCTGGCTGCTTAAGGGCTCTTTTCCCCAGCCAGGCACTCGGGGAAGGGGGCTATTTCCTGGTTGGAGGAGCCTCTGCAAAAGGCAGTGGGGGGGGCATGGGGGCACGGCGCTTTGGAGGGCAGGAGGGGCACTGGAAACATGGCTGCAAAGAGTGCCATTGGCATTGGGCAGAGGACAAAGTGGTGCCCTTCTGCAACAGAACGGGATCTGCGGCTTGCCCCTCTGCCAATTTCTGCCCGTGGGCGTGGGGAGCTCGCTTTGCTTGCTTCCCTCCCTGCAGGGGCTGCCATTTATAATCCTGGGAAAAGCATCCTCTGTGCCAGATGCCCGCCAGTTTTGCTGGAAGGAAAAGGCCAAGGTGACACCCAAGAAAATCCCAGCCAACCTGTGCAAACAGTTTGGCAGAGAAGCGCGAAGAGCTGCTGAGGACCCCCTTCGGGGCATCTGCTGCCCTTCCGGCGCAAAGAGGCTCCTTTTCTGCACTGCTCCCAACAAGGGAACGTGAATGCCAGCACAGCTGAGCTGGTGGGCTGGGTCTGGAAGCGGAGGCCCAAGGCGGAGGGAGGCCGGCTAGCCAGGACGGAGGTGCTTTTGGGAGTCACGGTTGGCAGCCCTGTTTGGGCTCTTCTGTACTGTTGGGCAGGTTGTTTGGCATGTCAGGGGCCATTCTTGCGGTCAGCACTGCGTCTGTCCTGGGTTGAGGACAATGAGGGGGGTGAATGGACGACCTTTTTCCTTTGCTCCTTTCTCAGCCCTTGGTGGGCTTTGCTGCCCCCTCATCCCCTTGGAGAAGCTCTTCCCCTGGGACCGGCCAGCCATGTCCCTTCTTGGTGAGGGCAGATGAGGTCCCTGTCTTGCCACGAGGCACTTCTTGCTGATTTTCTGCTTATAATGTTTGTACTTTATAATGTCTGCTTGCTTTAGGGTGGTAGGCATTCTGGGACTCTCCCAGTTGGATAAGGAGCCCCCTCTGAGCATCCTTGACAGGGCAGTGCCAAGTGGCCACCTCTGCCCTGGGATTGTCGCTCCCAGGAGTGTCAGCTCCAAGCTGTGTGGGTCCCTGGGGAGCTGAGAGGCTGCTCCTCCTGCTGCGTTGAGGGCTTTGACGGGATAGGCAGGGCCGGCTGCTGTGGGGCCACAGGCTGTCAGCCCAGTTCAGGCGCCAGGGGCATTTGACTGAAGTGAGCAAGAGGGGGGGGGGATGGAAGGTGAATCTTGCAGGATCGTTGAGTGTATCTCTGCTAGCAAGTCTCCGGTGAAGCAGCAGCTTCTCAGAAGAAAGAAGGGGACAGGCCCCCAGAATATGTACACCCCAGTGAAAGGAGAGGCGCTGTTTCCAGCCCTTCCTCCCCCTGGTGACAGCATCTTTCTAGGGCTCAGTCCCAGCCCCTGAATCTCTCAGCTGGCTGCTGGACAGTGGGCCCGCCAGAGCACAAGGGAGCTCCTGAAAGCCTTGGGACCTTCTCACCTTGTCTGCCAGGCCAGAGAACCTGTGGGCAGAGCTTGAGGTCCCTGCTGTGCCTCTTCTCCCATGGCCTCCCCAGGAAGGGTCCAGGTAGCCCACGGCTGGGTGCCTAGCAGGTCATGTCAGACTCCTGTCTCTAGCTTCTCCCCCTTGCAGACATCCGAGACAGCGGGGCCAAGCCGGTGATGGTCTACATCCATGGGGGCTCCTACATGGAAGGCACAGGGAACATGATTGACGGCAGTGTGCTGGCCAGCTACGGCAACGTCATCGTCATCACTCTCAACTACCGTGTGGGAGTCCTGGGTATGGAGGTTCTCACAACGGAGCTGCCTGCACTCCAGCCCAATGGTGCCCCCTGGAGAGGTCGTGGAGAGCCACCACATCCCTTAGCAGTTTTTTTGGGGGGGGGGGCATCTGTGGGGAATAAGAACAGGGTCCTGCAGGGGGCAAGATCCCCAGCTTTGGCACCCCCAGTTTTTGCACCGGTTCCCCTGAAAGGGTTCCCTCCCCATCTGGCATCTGGCCCCCAGGACAGGCCCTCGACCCTCATCCGGGCCGAACTGACAGATGTGAAAGCCGCCCTGTGTTCCTAGCTCGGAGTTCGCTTGTGTTTGCCCATTATGGCCCCGCAGAGAGCAAGTATTGATCTGTGGTTAAATATTGTAAAAACCCTGTTTTGGTACTCAGCAAGTACCACTAATGTGCCTTCCCAGAGGGAGTATCCCGTGGTCCTGTTGGGGTGCTGCCAGGTCACCTCCAGAAGCCGCCTGCTGGATCCCGAAGGTTTCCTTGGAGCGGGAGGCAGGCAGGGTGAAGGCTTCCCTCCCACCTGGGAAGAAGGGGCCTTCTTTCTCCTTGGGGTTTGTGCCTGCTGCATAGACAAACAGCCCCGCCCTTGACTTTCGGGACAGCCCTTGGCCACCCTAACTCCAGAGGGTGACTTGGCCTCCCAGGGTGCCTGGGTTGAGGCTGCAGCAGTCTCCAGGCAGAGGAGAAGGCTGTTCCTGGGTGGATTTGCACCTGGGTCAGGAGCCTAGAAATGACACGCTCGGCTCGTGAGCCTGCATGCCAGGATGCTGAAGCTGACCTGAACTCCTGCGGGATTCACCCTAGATTCGTACAATAGGTTTCAGATCATTTCCGGATTGCAGAAGCCTTTCCTGGGCTTGCAGAAATCACGAGCTCCCAAACATTTCAAAAACTTGAAACCACTAAGTCTTTCACCGGCCTGGCATCGGAGGAAGCCAGAGAGGCATTTAAAGCCCGCTTTCCTAGGCCCAGTCTAAGAGTAACGTCCAAGCGAGGACAGAAAGGTCCCAATGAGCAGCTGGGCATCGGGGCAGATGGCCCCAAAGATGGGGAGCAGATTCGTTCAGCCACTCAGGCTGAGGAAAAGGCACGGGGGCATCTCCCTGGCCTCCTCGGAGTGGCAAAAGACTCCCTGGAAATCTCACGTGGGGGGGGGAGGAGGAAACTGAGGAGTTGTCCCTTTGCTGGGGCCTGGTCAGCAATGGGGAGGGGGGATGGAGGGTCTGGCTGGGGAGCCCCATCCCGGCTGGGGAGCAACCGGCTTTCCTCTGCTTGCCTGCAGGGTTCCTGAGCACCGGCGACCAGGCGGCCAAAGGCAACTATGGGCTCTTGGACCAGATCCAGGCTCTGCGCTGGATCAGCGAAAACATCGCCTTCTTTGGCGGCGACCCTTTGCGCATCACTGTCTTCGGGTCAGGCATTGGGGCTTCCTGCGTCAGCCTGCTCACCCTGTCGCACCACTCCGAAGGTAAGGGAAGCCCTTCGGCCTCTCCCAAGAGGGGAAGACCCCGAGCTGCCCCTCTTCCTGCCCCTCCTCCTCTCTGGACAAACCCCCCCCCCCATGTTTTAACCATAGATGGCTTGTTCCTGTAATAATGTGGAATTACGGGCTTCAAAGGGCACTTGTATCTTTGCATTCAGGGTCACAAGGGGGGAGGCAACAATAGCTTCTATTTCAAAATAAACTCACAACTGAAATGTACAAAGACCATCGGAAAGCAGGCAGTAAGAAACGCCCAGAGTCTGAAGCAGGTTCTTTGCCATGCTGAGACCCAGCAGATGACAGGTGCACAGGCAAGATTTCTTCAAATGGAACTGACCTTTGCCAAAGGAGTACTCCCTGTGCCAAGCCAGCCTCAGTAGTTTCTCCAAGGGCAGCTGCTGACCGTCTTCAGAAGCTGCAACCTGTGGCCAGATACGGTCCAGGAGAGCTTGGCCAGAGGAAGTCTGAAAGTTTCTCCTTCAGAGAACACAACTGCAGAGATGGGCCCAAGGCCAGGAAGGAACCGAGCCCCCAACATGCATGAATTAAAACACCTGCCAAGCAGCCTTGAAAAGTCAGGCTGTGCAGCCGTCTTCGCCCCTTCTGCATCTGAGTCCTGGCTGGCTGATCTTGGGAAGAGTGGGAACCTTTTTGTAGATGGAGGGGGGCATTCTCTGGGAAGGTGGAGGTGTGTCTGAGGTGGGCCGGCTTGATGCTGGGGGCCCTTCCGGCTCTAGAGTCCGTCAAGAAAGACTCTGCAGGGTGGCTTTCAGCCCAGCGTCACTGCTGGGACAGCTTTAAGAGTATTTACACCTGTCCCTGTCCCTGCCTGATGGCGTCCATGCCATCCTCATGGATGGGTAATCCAGCATAGATGCTCTCTTGGGGTTTGGAAAGATGTCTTGCTCTTTAATTAGACATTCAGCAGCTTCCGTGTGTCCAGTTTGCTGCACAGGAGTTCCTGCAGTGGCTGAAAAAGTAGTACACCAGCTTTGTTCATATTTCTGTGATGTTTTTATGGCTCCTGGAGCTTTGGAATTAGCCAAGCCACCAGCAAATGCCCCCCTCCACCCCAGTCTAGTTAATGTTATCACCCCTTTGGGGTGTTTGAGAAGGATCCGCTGCACAGAAGTCAGGGTGGGCTGCTGTTAGGAAGGTCCGTCTCGTGGCCAAAAGCATCGTAAGATTAGGGCAGGTGGACCAAGCACACGGGTTCCCAAAGACTTGCAAGGACCCGGTGGCTCTGTCCTTCCTCTGGGTTCCCAAAGATTTTCTGGACAATGTGCCAATTTGCACATTGGTATCAATGTCTGAAGAGGGGGTGTCAACCTGTGACTCTACAGATGTTGCTGAACTTCTGGCAGGCCACAGGGATCCTTTCCAGATCCAAGGAAAGGGCTGAGAGTGACTCTCTGAACCTGACCCTCTCCAGATGTCTTGGATCACCGTTGCCAAAACATCCAGCTGCCATTCCATACATCTGGAGTACAGCAGGCTAGAAAAAGCTTAGTTCTGCGTGTTCTGATCAGGTTCAGTCACTGCAGCAGAAAGATCTGGGGCAGCCCCACACTGGGGACCACGTCGCAGAGCCACCAGCAGGGGCGGGCATGAGGCCGGGTGTCATGGTTCCGTTAAATGAGACTGTAAAAACAGGACTCCAAGGCAAGAGGTTTCCTTAAAGAAATGTTTATTGGCTACAAAATTATCGGCACAGTCAAAACTGAAACCAAGTCTGGAGTTCTCTCCCAAGCGTTCCAATGTTACAAAGTTGAACTTCCCACCCCAGCACTATTATCATTATCCACATTCCCCAATAGAATATTTTGGCGGGCTTTCTAACGGAAGGCTCAGCCCACCATTATAGTTAGGCAGCTATGACCTTGGTTCCCACGGGACAAATTATTGTTTAGTCTTACCTTATAACCACTCATCCCCCCCTCCCAGTACTGCGGCAACCGAAAATGAAGAAAAAATGGCTTCAGCCAAGATCGTTGCAGTGTTGACACCGGAGGAGGGGTGTCCCCAGTGTGGGAGAGCCTCTGTATCTCTCATGTTTATTACCAGGGATGCAGAGGGGAGGGAGGAGGGCCACCTTGGGGTTCCTGCACCCCAAATCCCTTGTTTGCCTGGACCACCAAAGGGATCTCATCTCCCAGGAATGGAGGCAAGCAAAGGTAGCCCCAGGGTCTCCTCGGATGCGGCTGCCTGGCTTGCTGGAGGATGCTGGGAGTGTTGCTCAGCCTCCCCCTCCCACGCCAGAATGCATTAGGCACCAGCTGGAATCCTGCCTGCCGAGCAGAGGCCCCAGAGCGACCCTTCGGAGGGCTTCTGCCTCCTCTGCACAGCCAAACTCGATCCAAGTGCTCTTTTGTGAGCCAATAAAGCAGGCAGGAGCCGCCCCTCCCCAGATGCGAGGAAGAATCAGTCTTCCACTTTGACCATGGTGTCTGGGGGGGGGGGTTGTCCCCCAGGTGGAGAAAAGAGGCAGAAGCTATTTCTGCATCTTGCTGTGTGTGCAGAGGATATTCATCCATTTCTGCTACCCAGCAGCTGGAAAGTGATAGAATTAGCTCTGGTCATTTGCAGGACATGCATTTCTGGGGCCTGCGAAGCCCATCCAGAACCACCAGGGGAATATTCAAATAGCTGCATTCAGGGCTGGTACAGCAGGTGGGGTGAGGGGGAGGGATGCCCTGGCCAGCTGGCTGCAGCTTTTCCTTGCCACGTGGCAGGACGGCCTGAACTAGCCCAGCTCTCCTGTTCAGCGGTACCGTAGCTGGGTTTTGTTGGATCCCACACCAAGCAGGTGAGGAACCACTGGGCAATGGTCCCTCCCAACCCCGATGCTTCCGGGCGGGGCTTCAACTGCCAAGATATCAGAACTGAGGGCACCAGGTTGAGGGAGGCTGAGCGGCTTTCAGAGGCACAGCTGGCAGTCCTTCCCTCTGGGATGCAGCCTGGCGGATCGGAAGCCGAAGCGGCTTCAGACACTTGGTGGTTGGAAGGTGACTCTGATGCAGGCTTCCTCCCGGGGGGCCTGGGGGGGGGGACAAGATTGTGTAAGAGTCTTTCAAGGGGGAAAAGGGGTGCACCCCTGCAAGCTGCACAGTTGCTCTAAGGGAGCGCAGGGTTGGGGGTGGGGGACAATAAATACAAATTATCCCCTTCCCCCCGTTTTGTAGCAAAGATGCATCCCCTTTTTTACCTGGAGGTCGAGGGGCTGCAGGAGCTGGTGGAGAGGCTCCTGCCCTCCTTCCCTCTGCCCCCTCTTCCGGCTTCAGCTGCAGAGGCTGCACTTCCTGGACCTTTTTGTATTCTGAGGACAAGCCACACGGAAGGAACCTTGGCACGCAGCCCGGCCTGGCATTCTTTTGCCAGCCTCAGGGTCTTTGTGGGCCGGCTTCCTAGGCCCGGCATCCTCGGCCTCTTGTGTTCCCGCAGGCAAAAAGGCTCCTTTGTGCCCCTGGGGAATGTGCAGTTTGCCGAGCCCACATTGGCACGGAGTGGGGCCCAGCTGGGCAGGAAATGAAGGCTGTTCTCTGTGGGACACGCAGGGTTAAGTACCACAGCTTAACCCCCACGATGCCAGCCTCAGATTGCCCTGCCTGAGGCAGGGGAGGGGAGAGCACCTCTTCTCCCATTCCTGCCCATTGTTCCCAAAGACTGGGTGGAACAGGACCAGGATCGCTTGACGGGTGCCAGGCTGACATGGCATGGCTGCCAGGGAGGGATTGACAGAGATGAGAAGGGGGTTGTGCTAAGGCCCCAAGCCCAGGATTTGCATCCTGCAGCCTAGCCTTGGACGAGGGAGCCGGCATGGCTGGGGACGAGCTTTCTCTGTTGGGCCATCTGTCCTCCGGGTGCCCCTTTTCTTGCTTGGTTGCAATAGAGAACAGCCTGCTGGTGTCAGTGGTGTCCCTTCAGCAGCAGCTTTCTTGAAACCTGCTCATGGGTGGCATGTCCTTTTCTGCTATGCTTGTATTTTCGCCTCACAGGTCTTTTTCAGAGAGCCATCATCCAGAGTGGCTCCGCGCTGTCCAGTTGGGCAGTAAACTACCAGCCTGTGAAGTACACCAGCTTGCTGGCTGACAAAGTGGGTTGCAATGTTCTTGACACTGTGGACATGGTGGACTGCCTGAGGCAGAAGACTGCCAAGGAACTGGTGGAGCAGGACATCCAGCCAGCACGCTACCACGTGGCCTTTGGGCCGGTCATCGATGGGGACGTCATCCCAGATGACCCAGAGATCTTGATGGAGCAGGGAGAGTTTCTCAATTATGACATCATGCTTGGCGTCAACCAGGGCGAGGGGCTGAAGTTTGTGGAGGGCGTTGTGGACCCAGAGGATGGTGTTTCAGGCAGCGATTTCGATTATTCTGTCTCCAATTTTGTGGACAACCTGTACGGCTACCCAGAGGGTAAAGACACCCTGCGCGAGACCATCAAATTCATGTACACAGACTGGGCTGACCGGGACAACCCAGAAACTCGACGCAAGACCCTGGTGGCCCTCTTCACTGACCACCAGTGGGTTGAGCCATCAGTGGTGACCGCTGACCTTCACGCTCGCTATGGGTCCCCCACGTATTTCTACGCTTTTTATCACCACTGCCAGAGCCTCATGAAGCCACCCTGGTCCGATGCGGCCCACGGAGACGAGGTGCCTTACGTCTTTGGGACTCCCATGATTGGCCCCACCGACCTCTTTCCCTGCAACTTCTCCAAGAACGACGTCATGCTCAGCGCCGTTGTTATGACCTACTGGACTAACTTTGCCAAGACTGGGTATGTTGCCCCTCCCCAGACTGCTTTTGTGGGTTTTGCAGGGTGGTTGGCTGGCATCTCCCAGAGACTCCCAGAGGGCAGAGCCAGGCACTCCTTTGGAATTCCGCTGTGCGGAATTGGACAGTGAAAGGACCCTCAGCAGTCAGGATCAGGGTGTGCGGGAGGAAATGGGGACAGAGCTCTGGGCCACCTTTAGTCCTTGGCATCTGATAAAGGAGAGGAAGGGGGGAAAGGATTAAACAAATATCTGTTCTCCTCGAGGGCACTGAAGGTGGCTTCTTTCTCCAGTGCCCCTCAAGGATTGAGCCCCTAGATCTGCTTTCTCTAGCCTGCTCCCCTTCAGATGTGTTGGGACTGCAGCTCTCAGACTTCCCAGCCAGTGTGATTTAGGAAAAATCCAGTTTTAATCCTTCAGATTATTGAAACACGAATCTAGGTTTTGCCAAGCTGAATGAATTTTCGTTCTGAAAAGGCTCAGTTCTCTGCAGCCCTCGAAAGACAGAGAATCTGTCCATATATTGGAGCCCCTTGGGGCTAGACACTCCTGCTTGGCAGATATCTCCAATGGGAACAATCCCCCCCCCAGGGAGCCCCCTGATTAATGGCACACTAGGGATTGCTGATGGCATGCTTTCTCTCTCTCCCTCTCCCTCATTCTTGCTCTCGCTCTCTTTTAGGGACCCTAACAAACCTGTCCCCCAGGACACCAAGTTCATCCACACCAAGGCTAATCGGTTTGAGGAAGTCGCCTGGTCCAAGTACAACCCACGTGATCAGCTCTACCTGCACATTGGCCTCAAGCCTCGGGTGCGTGACCACTACCGTGCCACCAAGGTTGCCTTTTGGAAGCATCTGGTCCCACATCTGTACAACTTACACGACATGTTCCACTATACCTCCACCACCACAAAGGTGCCGCCACCTGACACCACTCAGAATTCCCACATGGCACGCCGTCCCAATGGGAAGGCCTGGAGCACCAAGCGACCAGCCATTTCCACTGCCTATACCAGCGAGGGCTCGCAGGAGAAGTGGAACCCCGAGCAGGACGGGGCAGGCACGCTCCTGGTGGAGAATCCCCGGGATTACTCCACTGAGCTGAGTGTCACGATTGCTGTGGGGGCTTCCCTCCTCTTCCTCAATGTTCTGGCCTTTGCAGCGCTCTATTACCGGAAGGACAAGCGGCGGCAGGACACCCACCGCCAGCCCAGCCCACAGCATGCACCGGCCACCAACGATATCGGGCATCCCCCGGAAGAGGATATCCCCTCTCTGCAGACCAACCAGTCCCACCACGGAGACTGCGAGGCAGTGCCGGCCCACGATGCCCTCCGCCTCACGGCCTTGCCCGACTACACGCTCACGTTGCGCCGCTCGCCCGACGACATTCCACTCATGACACCCAACACCATCACCATGATCCCCAACTCCCTGGTGGGGCTGCAGACCTTGCACCCCTACAACACCTTTGCTGCCAGCTTTAGCAGTACTGGGCTCCCTCACTCACACTCTACCACCCGGGTATAGCCGCCATGCACACGCTCCGCCTCACTGGACCTTGGGCTGTGGGGCCAGACGTGGCAACTCTCTTGGCTCGTAGTATCAAGTGCTTTGCTCTCCTCATCTCCAGAGCAGCTGAGGCTTCATGGAGTCCAGCAGAGAAGGCGAGACCCCTGGGCTGCCCTTAGCTGAGTAACCCCTTTGTGCTCCCAGGTCCAGCTGGCACTACCAAGGAAGCCCAGGGCAGCCCCTCGCCTCTTGGAACAACTGTGGGTGACTCTGCCTAGGCACCTCCTAGTGGGCACTCTTGGAACAGAGCTTTGCCAGTCTCTCTCTACCAACCTAGAGCCACAGAGAACGGCTCCCACAAGCTTAGCTGCCACCTTGTGGCTGGAGATGGCTGGCACTTCCTGGAGCTCTTGGACAGGTGCCATTTGGGGGGAGGTCTAAGCCCCATACTGGATCCTGGATCCCTGGTCTTGATGCTGGGCCTGGCAGGTACTGTCTGGTACCCCGGCTCCATATCACACTCTTCATGTTGCGGAGATACTGTCTGTTTGTCTGTTTCTTTCCAAAAGACATTTTTTAAGCAGATCTTTAGTTCTTTAAACACTAACGGAGACACCGTGTTTTGTCCTTTGTAAAGATTTTAAACTAAGTGTTCTTGATACAGCCAATTAGACACACACGTCACCCAGACGAGCACATCCACCCCTCCCCCCTGCAGCTGCATCTGTGCCAAACTGAAACCAGCAGGCTTCCCTAGGGGTGGGCAGTGGCACAGAGTCGACCACCAGGCCCTTTTGTATTTTTGATATGCCCTTCCTGCCCTTCCTAGCCCTGGTGTCCACTGGGCAATCCATGCTCCTGGATCCTGGGGACCAGCAGCCTCCTCCTGCCCTCTGCCCTGGCCAGCTGCCGGACCAAGGCCCAGCCACGTCGGGTGCCTCAGCCTTGCGCTTCTTGGCAGCCAACAGCCTGCCCTGGTCTCCAACTCACGGCTCCCCCTCTCGGGGTTGGAGAGGCAGGGAAGGAGGGGGAAGGCACAGGTAGGGGCAGAAAGGGGCTTGCCCTGTGAGGCTGGCTGCCAGGTCCAGGACAGGTACCAGAGGAGTTGCTGGCTGTGGGGCTGCTGGTTGACAGAGACCCTGCAGTGGCAGCTCAAAGGCTTGCCACAGGTGGACGTCAGGCCTGGGAACTGGAGTTGGGGGAAAAGAGGGTCAAGGGCAGGGTCTGCTGGGAAAGATGGCAGGCAGCAAGCCCTGCCTTGTCGGAGTCTGGCCTGCAAAGGACCTGGCGGGCAGGAGGGCCCAGCAGGTGGTCAGCAACACCATCGGCTGGCAAGGTGAGGATTCTGAGGTGGGAGGGGGACACATTGAGGGGGGGGGATGCAAGCAACTCGGGCAGGTGGCCAATGGGATTTGATCCAGCCTGTCTGGAAGTTTAAAACTGCGTGTGTCTCCTCTACCGATCGCCAGCCTGCTCCTCGCTGGGGGGGGGGGGAAATGTATCTTGGAGCAGAGGAACGAGAAACTCCCAATAAACTGGAAGGGATATTTTTAGCTCCTGGCTGTGCTGTCTCTTCTTGGCCTGGGGTCATGTTGGGGCGGAAGGGGAAGGAGAATGGCACCTATTGCGTCCCAGGAGAGCCCACCAGTCCCTAGGAGGCAGCCTCCCTGAGCCACTTGAGGGAACACCTGTGGGGCCTCTGCCCAGCTCATTTCTGCTGCCCCACCTGATCTGCACTGCTGCCGTCCCTCAGAACTGCTTCCCAAGCAGCCTCTGGTTGAGAAGGGAATGATCCACCTGCCTCCTCTCTGGCAATCCTGCCAGGCTGCTTCTGCCTTCCATCACCCCCTTCTTGGGATTTCCCTTACCCCCCACCCCCCACCCCGGGGATGAACGCAGAGGGCCAGGCTACAATGGGCTGCTGTCTGGGGTCTTTCTCAGCAGAAGCAGCATTAAAAACACTTGGAATAAAGAACCAGTCAGCCCGGCGATGCCCTTGGCCACCTCCTGCTCTCCTGGCCATTCTATGTAGCAGGTAAAATTATAGCTCTGGTTGTTTCTTCCAGCAGCTAAACAGATGTTACAATACGGATAGGGAAGGATGCTGGAAACTAGTCCAGCAGTAGCAGATGGGTTAGTTCCCAGCTCAGGGTGACAGTAAGGCTTCTCCCCCCCCCCCCAATAATACAATGAAGCGTCTCCCACCCTCAGCCACAGCTTCTACCCCCGAGGAGCCTTCCTACCCTGGCAGGCTGCAACCAGATTGGGGGGAGGGAGGGGGAGAAGCTGCTTCCAGCAAAAGGCATAAACAATCAACCCCAACATGGACGGAGAGCAGGCAGCCATCTGGGATTCTTCTCCATGGCAACCAGTGTTTGCAGGATGCTGGTTCGATCACCCTCCTCCCGTGTGTCCTTCGCTCTTTCCCCTTCTGCAGTGATTGTGCACCTGTGTGTGTGCATGTGTGCGCGCACATACAGGGGCTGTCTATGCAGGATCACGTTCCCCAAATCGGTTACCTTAACAACCTTTCATTGTCTCAAATTGGATTGAAGAAACAGCCTGGGTTTCCTCCAATCATCCAAATCATTTCAGGCCAGCCTCTGAGCTGTGGCCTGCATGAACGATGGAGCACGGGAAAGATGGGGGGAGGGGAGGGAGGAGCAGGCTTCATTTCCAATTCAGCAGCATACAACATGGGCGCGACCCTCTCCGAGGCACAGGTTGTCGCCCTGCAGATTAATTTGCACTTCAGCCCGGCTCACTCCGCAGAATCTCAGAGTCACCTTGCTTGCCAAGACAGGGAGGGGTGTGGGTGTGGGCTATTTCCTCTCACTCAGTACCTGGAACAGAGTTTTGCTGTTGCTGCAGAAGGTTGTGGAGGAATGGAGCAGGAGCTGCGAAGCCGGGGAGTGACCGGGCAGTCCCGACTTAAGGGTCACATTGTGGCCAGTGTCAGTTGCCCTTGCCAAAGGGGCATTTGCACTTTGCCCCTTTCACTTTGGATAAGGGGAGCTGGGCAGCCCAGCCATGACTAGGGTCGAGGTCTGCTGCCTGCCTTTGCCCCAAATCAAGGCTGGATGAAGACAGGCAATTTGGCCCTCAGGAAAGGGTCGAATGCCCTAAGCCAGCAAGCGGCCAGTTTTGCATGGAGGATGATGTTTAGGGTGTATGAATCTCAGAAATGCTCCTTTGGTGGCCATCAGCTTCTGGCCTCCTGAAGCTTCAGGCTGAGCCTCCATCTTCTGTTCTGGCAGCACCCCATCCTCAGGTTCTCTGGCTCCAGCCCCTGGTGAGGGTGGACGTAAGCAAAGTGTCCCACGTCTGCAGTGATTCGAAGGCCATCGGTGGTGGTACACGGGGAGAAGAGAGCGAGAGCGAGAGCAATAGAAGAATACCGAAGGGGGAGGACAGTGTTTGCCCCTTACATTTGCTTGGTGCTGCATGCCACGTGGAAGCCCAGCTAGTTTGTGTCGCTTTGACCTTGGTATTTCATGCAAACACAAACATGGATCAGTTCAGTCATTAAGCTAAATATGTGTGTATGCACAACCAATGAATTACAGATGCCACCACAGGCACAGACCACCAACTCTGATCTGAAACAATGCACACACACACACACACACTCACACACACGGAGAATTCTCAAAACCTATAGCTAGAATAAGGCTGATGCCTGTCCATCTCTGTAAGAATTTGTAAGAAAAGGACATTTCCCTTTCTATACATTTCTGGCCTGAGGTGATCACCACTGGGCAGGCTTTCCCAGCCAGAGAGCATCAGATACAAGCCACAGTAACCTCGCACACAACGTTGTATCCTCATCCTCGGCACAAAGTCACCGAGACTTGCAGGAAGTCACCTGCGCCGGCCAAGGAGCCCCTCTGCCCAAGGAGGCCTCGCTGGGCACCGAACACGGCCAAGGAGGCTGGCCCGCAGTTGGGCTTCTCCCGGCTGCCGCCCCGGAGCCTCCGAATTCGAGCGTGGGGGCCCCTCGTGCGTTAGCCACACCAAAACACATTTCTTTTCCAATTTTAATTGCATCGATTAGAGGCATTTAGATAACAAATTACTGCATTAAATTTAATTATCTCAGCAATAATTAGTTACACCAGGGCAGAGAGCACGACTTTAATTACACAGCCCCGGATCCTGCCAAGCCCCCCGCCCCCCCCACAGCGGGGCTCATTATCATAAATCAGCCCCCCTTGTGCTCCCACGTGACTACAACTCCCATCGTTCTCAGCCACGAAAAACGAGGCAGGACTTCGGTTCGCTGAGGTCCCTTTAAAAAAGGCTGCCCGAACATGTGCAGAGTGTCTCCGCTCGGGAGTCCTGCGCAGCCTCAGCAGTCCTTGCGCGAAGAGCCCAGCCCCGCCCGACCAAGGAGGTTCCGGGGTTGCAGCGACCCCCTGACTGGAGAAGCGCCGGCCGGGGAGGCGCCTCCGCCATGGCCTCGCCGCGAGCGCTGGCCTTATGCTGCGCGCCGCCCGGCGGCCAGCTCGGCGCTCCGGCGGCGGGGCTGTTGCGCCTCTCCCGGCCGCTGCCGCCCTGGCCCGGGCTGGCCCTCGGCAGCGCCGCGCTGGGACTGCTGGGCGCCGCGCTGCTGGGCGCGCTCCGCAGGCGGCCGCGCCACCGCTGCAGCGGCTCTTGCCGGGTCTCCGCCGGGCGCGGCTGGGCTCCGGGCAAGGCGCTCCGAGCAGCCGCGCTCCTGGGCAGCTTCCTGGGCACGGCGGGTGAGAGAAGGGCAGCAGCCGGCGCGGCCCTCGCCTCCCTCCCTCCCTCCCGCCCTCCCGCTGCAGGCGGCGGCGCCCCGCCTGGATGGGGGCCGGAGCAAAGGGGGCCGGGAATGAGCCCGGGCGCCATCCCGGCTCGGCTGGCCCCGCATTCGGGGCTTCTGGGGTGGGCTGGGGGCCGCTTGCAGGGAGGGAGGGAGGGAGGGGGAAGGATGTACTTTGCACGCGCTCTCGGCACGCTAGAGAAGAGCAGCCCCCCCCCAAAGTTCTGCGGAAAAC